TGCTCGTACAGTTGTTCGACTGCTCTCTTTTCGTCCGAGCGTTCGTCCTTCCAAAAAGAACAGTAAATATTCATTCTTAGCTACGTAGCATGCGCCATTTCAATTCAAATTCAAGTGTCTGTTTACCATCGTTTTCTTTACATTTTGTCAAACTTTGAATTGGATTTCTTCATGAGCCCGGTGACGCATGACCTTCTCATCCATAACGTCCGCCGCCCTCAGATCACGTCATGGCTCATATGGGAGGCATGGAAAGTGACGATTTTGCTTTCAAACAAATGAGTATGTAGATTCAAACTCATGTACAGCAGTTGCTGCACGTCTTGCTAGTTTGATGTCTATATGCGTTTCAGGAATGGGGTACTAACATCAAACAGCCCATATGATCGAAGCCTTACTCTTTTTTGCCTTTTTCTTGATTGCTCAATCGTTTGCAGACGCGGGAGTGACTGCTTCTTGATCGACTCGACTCCCGCTAATGAAGCTAATTTCATGAATTGTATCATTACTTTGGCGAGAAGATAACTTCCTTTTGACATACAATTATAATTTTTGTGTATCAAATGGTTTTGTAGGGAAGTCTCAAAGCTTCACTCTAACCTATCATTATTCAAAATTTTCTACCAGTTACGAAACACAGTCATGCCCTTCTATGGCCAATCTTCCACGAAATTACTTGTCTGCTTTCTAGCTGCAAGTTTCGTTTTTTGCGGTGAATGCACGTACGAGTAATTTAGTAGTTGGACTAGTGAACCATAATTAAAGGTGCTAGATTGCGACGTACAGTATTTGGCCAACGTCCATCGGCCGAAAAATAAGATGCTCCAAACAAACAGAGCCTAAACCTTCTTAAAATGCTTTGTTTTAGCGATATTTTCTAGATGTACTAGCAAAATGAAAATACCATAAAATACCATAAAATTCTTTCTAATTTCAGTATCCTCTCTTCTCTATAGAAACTTCAAAATTGACAGTCATGAGGATCTTAGGTAATTGGGGATGTTTTGCAAGGAGAATTCAGGAATGATGATTATTTTGCGAAGTAGTCTTTTCTTGCACAGTTGCAGCTGTACTGCAGGGAAGCCAAGTTTACAAGTTTGTACGAAAGAAATGTCTTGTACTACTGTTGATTTTTCGTCGCTTCAACTAACTTCAGTGCTTTCGCGTTTTGCTGATAGAACTTAGTGTTTACTTTGCCTAAGCCGTATGACTTGTTTTGATTCAAAATAAAGAGTTGATCTAGCAGGTTATGCATGTTTTCGCTTTTCTTTTTCTTTTGTGTTTCTTCGGAGTTCTGTTACCTTTACATGATGTAGTAGCAGTGGAAACACCGGGACCATTTTTTTTAGTTTGCTATTGCGAACATGATCACAAAAGCTGGAATTCACATCTACTTGTATCAGTATTATAAATGCGTTCTTCTGCATACCGTTCGTAACCTTATCAATGTGAGTACTATACAAATAAGATCGTCTTCTATTCAAAGGCTTACAAACGCTTACCAGAAATTGAGGCAAATACATTATGAGAATTTAGTCTCGCTAAAGTTCACCTAACGCAAGTATGCAGGGATGGGCTACCTTGCAAAATAATTATCATTCCTGGATCCGCCTTGAAAAATAACTCCAACTACATAGGGATCTATCTAAAAAAGCGTTTTCAACAAGGTTTAGGCTCTCTTTGTTTGGAGCATCTTATTTTTCGGCCGATGGACGTTGGCCAAATACTGTACTTCCTAGATTGCATCCGCGCGCTTAGGTAGGTGCCAGAGTAAGCGAATATTTTGTTCAGGTTGGGGTCCCGCGTAGAGTTGAGGTCACTTGGATTGACGCCAGCATGGTGAGTGACGTCCATTCTGCCCGGGACCCCAACTTGAACAAAATATTCGCTTACTCTGGCACCTACCTTACCGCACCGCGCTTTCCCGCTATTTGATAGTTTTTGAATGCAGCTTACGATTCTTTATATAGTATAATAATAATAATAATAATAATTGGATACTACAGCTTTGGCTACATGGTGAATCACAATTATGACTTAGTGGGTAGTCTGCGAGAATTTAGTCAAAAAATTGGGTGCAAGTCGATTTTGGATAGTCAGATTGTTGATTATTATGGTATGGTCATGCAAATAGTTTTAATCACCGAAATTCTATGCTCTTGTTTAACACATTGACGACCATGCAGATTTTCAGTTGTCTGCCTTCTGGGACCAAAGCCTTTTAGGGCCAGCCCACATTTTTCAACCATATTTACGCATGCTGCCATCTACAGCACGCCCACAGTAAATTTGAAAAGCTGATGAAAAAGGTAGAGGTCATCACTAGATTCAGTGGAAAAAAAGCTCATGGAGTGAGTCTATACCAGGGTAGTAGTCATTTTTACAAAATTAAAGCCTTGACACACATGATGTGTCAAGCGGTCCCACGCGGTAGTCATTGCTTGACACACCATGTGTGTCAAGCGGTCGTCAATGTGTTAAATGTGGATATTACATCAGAGTGTTCACTTTCCAAAGCACGATTTTCGATGGGTATCTCACTGCACCATTTTACTATCAAAATAGGAGAAAAATATGTGCTCAAACAGAGCCGATGGCCCGATTCTCTTTTAACTTACTTTTTTTTGGAAATTTTTTCGATCACGATGTAAAATGAAGATTTATGCACTGCATACATTTTAATTTCTTCGTATTCATCATTTCTCATTTTGGCACTTGAATCTTTATTCTTATGATTTCTTACATATCGTCTTGAATCCTGGGCTGCGCGATGGATCAGTCGATAATCTGCAGGCGCAGTATCTGTTTGACGTTCTGCGAGGTTGTGTGATTTTCTATCGCAAATCACACAACCTCGCAGACTGTGGTTCTGCCCGTGCATTTCTCGCCATGGTTCTTTTAGAATTACTGAGTGGTTGGACTATTGTTATTTGATGATTCGTAAATGTGCTAAAACAGTGTATCAGTGTTGTATCATATCGAATGTCATTGCCAAAGCAATCGAACTCCTTTCTCCACGATCACTATTGCAGTATTTCTGTCATCTACTGTTCCACGAACTGAGTTGCCCTCGTTTTTTCCTTTGCTATAAATAGCCTACCTCATTTGTTTTGTGTAATTCGGAAGCCCATAAGCTAGGATCAACAAAGAGCTAATGTGGTGTCTGCGTAAATATGTTGATAATCCGAATATCTATGTTTCCGCATGACTGATCATAGCAATGCATTGCCGTAGACATGTACGTTTACAGAAACAAAACGAGCAGTAGTGTATGCCAGAATGTACCGCATGCTTCAAATCTAATTTTTCCACTAATTTTCGAGCCTTTGAATTCTGAGATACCCCAATAGTCCGTGATGTTTGCAACTCTACTCAGCTATGGTTAAGCATTTCTTAAGTCTCTGTATTTTGGATAAGAGCATTTCTCGTGCACCTGTCTTATTTGAAGAGTTCTTCACTGGAGAACGCTTGTACACAGGTTTTGTAGAAAAGTCCAAAAAAAGTCGATGCGGATTGTGTTATTCAGAAAGAAGTGGTAATCCTTGGATGACAAAGGGCAGAACAGAAAGAAAAACTGGGATAATTAATTCTTGAGCTCTCGTTCACCTTGTATCCTCTGTATCATTGGTGGTAGATGGTGTGTGGGATCTGGGCTTTCTCGCGAGTGTGCTCCTAATCCTCTCTCAGGCTCAATTAGGCCTCGAGTATACCTCGCGCGATTTCTCCGAAATCGCGGCGATACGCGATCTGGCAGTTTGCCAGATGTCGCAAATCTACCGTGTGTGGAATATAAGTGCGTAGGCTCATAGCTTTTGTATATACGTGCATACCAGATCTTGCTTACAGAGTATGCGCCTAGGGAAGACTATGAACAGTCGTAGCAATTAGAAATCTCGCGGCGACGAAGTATGACCGATCCCTTGGCGATCGAAGCTCTGCCCTCCACCGCCACTCCCCGGGAAACAGAGGATCCAGTGGCTGTCGCACTCCGAAAAATTTTTGGGGTTCCTGAATTTTTTTTTGCGGACCCATAACGAAAAAAGCTTTTTACAAGGCAAATTTGAATTTTTAAAAAGTTCAAAAAATTTTTTTCTTAATTACAAGAGTAAACAAGTCACTTGCACATTTTTATAATCGATGTAAGTAAATTTCAAAAATTTCGCAACCCATTCCCGGGGGGGCGCTCTTCAAAATGCAGCCTTTGCAACTCTATATAACGGCTAATTCTGTTTAATTACAAAACATTACGCATTGGGGATGGTGTAATCATTGCTGTTATGGTATGTCGAAGATTGATATTTAAAATTTTGCTTCACTCTATTTTTTCCTTGTTGGAATATTTCTTTACTCTCATGGCATCGACTCTTCAACAGTCAGTCATCCTCGTCTGTTATTCGATTTTGTATCGAGTCATCAGTCACCATGTGCAGTTTGTCTTTGTGGAGTGTTTGGTGGTTTTCTCTGAAAAAGCGTCGTTGATTCTCATACGGTTGAGTCAGTGAAAAGGTTGCTTGAAGTTTTCATGCAGCCATCTAAAGCACTCATTTATGAAATTTTTTTGAATAATTCACACTCTATTAGAAAAGTAAAAAGAATTTGTCAGTACATCATTTTTAACAAAAATGTTTCTAACATTAATGCGGCCTGCTTTATGAACTGATACAGGACACACGTTGGTTTTTTGATATTTGAAGAAGTTTGAATTTCTGACCAAATGACAAGAAGTAGACTGGTATATCCTGGATGTGGTCCAGGATCTTAGCTTCAATTCTCACTTAGCCGAAGTAATTCGTTTATCGTTAAGCACTAAAATATGAGTTCCTCCTCTCACCCATCCATTCCTTGTCGCTTTTTGGGATAGTATCATTAAAGACTTGCGGAAGCATATGCTCAGGTTCTAGCGTCATTTTGATATTGATCGCTTATTGTGTCTTTCTAAAAAGCAATTATGATGATGTTCCAATTTTCAGCGTATTTGTGTTTGATTTTTTCTTCAGATTCGCGATGTGCGAATTTCTAATGCCTTCGTCATCACGGATTTGCACATCGCAATTGAACTGAAGAAAAAATGAAACACAAATAGAATCATGTGTGCTCCGTTTATCTACTCGTATAGTGTGCCTTCTCATCCAATCTAATTGATCTGATTTAGTTACATAGTTCAAAATGAGCAGCCGTGAACAGGCAATTCAGCAGGCAAGAAAGACTGTCGAGCAGCTTCGAGGTGAACGCAATATGCGACGAACACCGGTGTCTGCATCAGCTGCTGATTTGATTAGGTACCTCTAACAAATATATCTGTTTTTGGAGAAGTCTAGGCTTTCACGCTAACTGAAAATAAAAAAATATGAATACCAAACTCTTTGAAAAGACGTTTGCCCGCAGACGTTTGCTCTGTATCGTAACTTCAACCGGTATGCGAATGACCTATTAAGAAAGAAGTGTTCTGGGGCTGTATCTCGGTTCATTCATAAAACGCAAACTTATATAATTCCAGGTTTACGCAAGATCTCCAACGTGAAGATGTGTTGGTGACCGGATTTCCTAACGATAAAATGAATCCATACCGTCCCAAAAGCTCGTTCCAATGCAGCCTGATATGAGAGGGACGTAATCACACTCACAAAATGTATTGTTGAAGATTATTATGTTCTTTTTTTTTCATTATGCTTGATACAACAACATATCGAATTGCTTATGCTTCACTTTCTTCTATGCCTTTGTAGTCCACTGGTATCTGCATACGCCTTCCCAAAATTGCTTTTACGTTCATTTTTCGCTTGAATCTCTTTGATATTGTTTTAGTAATGGTGGTCTAACGGTACTATGGTTTCGGTTGAATGTATGATAATCTGTTTCTAAAATTCATCGCAGTGTCTTCACTGTCCGTTTATTGCTGTGTTGGATCTGAGGAACTGCCAGTTACTTAAAGTTTTATCAATTATTTTGTGTGGTATTGGTCTTAGTTGGTCCCTTACGACTTGCTCGCCTTTACAGATCAAAATTAAAAATGTGAAATTAACCACCATTTGGCAAAGAAGCTTGTAAACTAAGTTCATGTGTTTTGATTTGGTTTTTGAAAAAGCCGATTGAATTCTGGTCATTCCAGGGTCATCTCCAAGTACTGTTCGAAACTTTTTGGAATATCTGCGAAGACAACCTTTTCTTCCCTTATGAGGATGAATATGTTTCTTCATTGGGTCCACATAGTTGAGAAAATCTGGTTAGCCTGAAGCGAATGTATCGGTCTTTCTCGTACAGTCAAATGCATAAACAACTCGGATGATCGCTTATACAAACAAAATGAGAATTGCACTTATTCGTTAGACATTCCAACAAATACGAGAAGCACTGTGATTCTCGCATATGTTGGAAATCCAGAAGAAATAGATCCTTACAACTGGCAAATTAGAGTACGAATCTAGTTGAACATGTGGGTAATGCCTGCGGCACTCGGCTAACTGCTTTGAATGATGTAAATAGCAGAGTCGATATTTGCAGTTTGAATTGAATATTCATAGTCGATAAGCGTTTACAGCTAGTCAAATCACACATTCAAATATTTGAACTCGGTATCCGTATCAGGTCCTTTTGTAGTTTTCGGTTTCGAACGATTATGCATTTTTATTATAAATGAGAACATTCTACTACATTTGATGCAGCACTTTCTCCTGCTTCTGATATCTCCTCAAAACTATGATCTAATGCTTTTGAGTAATGGCTGCTCTTCATCTGCCATTTTCAGGTGCTCGAAATTTTGCTCTTGTGCGTCTTCATTTTGCAATCTCGGATTTCATGTCAGGCAGTTAGAGCAGATTTGGAGACATTAGTGTCTTCACTACTCACCGATTCTTTGAAGATATCTGTCGGTGAAGCCATATAAATGAGTGCTGCAAAAAGTGGAACCCCCTGAGTTTTGTCTGGCCAGCGGAAGCGAGTAGAAGAAGCAAAAGAGAATACATAATTCTGAGATCAGGAAGAAGTTCGAAATGTACAGATGTGAACATGCTAAGAAGTCACAGATAATACTAACAATCACTATTTTCAAAATCACACAAGTCGTAAAATTTAGCGGCTCATATCATAAATTTCAAGTATCCAACAAGGAAAGGATACCTGGTCGAAATGGCGTTTCGAGAGGAAATGTGTACTATCTTATAGAACATGGAACGCTGATTTCGAATCTGCTTTCGTTATCTGCAAAGCGCTTCTGGAAGGGAAGTTATAAAAAATCTTTATAAAAATTTTTTGAGGCACAAATTTCTAGACACCTACAATAAAATCATTCAGTACTGTGGTCTGTGAGCTCAAGGAGATCATGATTACTGCCAGAGCGCTTCGTGCAGTTAGTACCTAAGGTCTAATAAATTTGAGCTAATCGTTAGTCCATTCAGGCGCCGGAAAGACCTCAACACTCGTTCTAACCAAGATCCCGAGTTTTTGCCTCGAAGAGCTATCATAGCTCCCATCCCAAAAGCGCTTTGCAGATAACGAAAGCAGATTTGGAGTTAGCGTTTTTGCTCTGTAAGACATTATACATCTCATATAGAAACTGCACTTCGACCAAGTATCCTTCCCTTGTAAGTGAAAGACCTTGTGGATCTTTCTTTGACAGATATCCGAAGCTTTTAGGTGACTCTTAAAAAAATATTCAACTTATAGTGGTTTGTTCCAACACAGTACATACACTAGCCGTTCCAAATTCTGCTTCCATATCTGATTTCCGAATTTTGTTACGACTGCTAAATTCATATTTAGTTTATTCAGGCGGACCATGCATCCGGAAGCAGATAAACGCATACACATGACTTTTTCCACAAAATTAAAAGATAAGTTGCATTGAATACTTGCCTCATAATCTGTATGAACCGCTGATTATGAGAAATACTGTCGGCGCCATCTACCCTCGATATCATCCCATATGTCTTCCCTCAACATGACGTGGATTACGTGGCTTGATGAGGCGCCGCCTCGCCTCGGGCTTGCGCCACGTTGCGTGCGCATTTTCGGCGTGATGTGGCAACAAGAAAAACGTGGAAAAGCCTGCGCCACGTTGTGTTGAGCGCCACGTCGCGCCAAATGATGCGCTCGCAACGTGGCGCGAGCCCGAGGCGAGGCGGCGCCTCATCAAGCCACGTAATCCACGTCATGTTGAGGGAAGACATATGGGATGATATCGAGGGTATTCCTACCGGGCTGGCTGCGCGGGCGGTTCGCGCGCGGCAGCCGTGAATAGTGGTGGGGCGCGAATTATATGGATACGACATTGCCATGTACCGCCTTTCATCGGTTCAAATGTGCAAACAAAGATTTTTGCGCCTATCCCAAGATAACGAAGGCTGCGCAAGGCGATGTTAATGAAAACATTGGTTTCTACTTCAGTAACCGCTATCTCATTTTGTATTGCTTCTTTGACTAGCGCAGCCGAGGATACCCTGCAACTCCTAAGTGCGCCTATTCGTTATTTGGAACTTATTGCTTTATCATATGAAAGGGGAAAAGGTTTTAAGTGTGTTCGTGGCTTCTTCCTAATATGCGAATCTATTTGTTTCCCGTAATCCGCACATGCAAGCGTCAACATCAGTTGTGTGCCGATGATCCTATATGTAAGAGTATGCATCAAGACCTAACAAACTAACATAATCCCATTATGCCGGATTAGATAAGTAAGGAGGTCAGAAGGTATACGAGAACGCTTGCGTCGCCTACATTTCGACATCAACGTTTTGGAATTCCACCAAATTCTCCAGCATTACTCAGCAAACTCAGCTTCGAGTAGCTTTTTAGCTGAATCCTTTGTTCCTTTGGACTTATATAGCTGTGTTTTCGCAGTTAGAATACTAATGCTAACCAATAAGAAGATCATGGCTGCTAGAAAATATACAGCTCAGCCGACACTTTGGATGAGGCAAGGAATGGCTCCACGGATTCTACGTTTGTGTGTTCTTCGCACATAAGTATTCTCTAATGTATGTATGCATCCGTGGTCGATTCATGAACGTCATGTCAAAAGCGTTCGTAAAAGCAAAGTATTGCTTGATGAACAATTAGCTTCAAAAATCCTACCTCTACTTGGTTGGAATCACTTATGAAACCGTTATACCATGTAGTGTAGATTCGAAAACTACTGTAACTGACTACATTCCGTGATTTGCAAAACCTTACGCACTCTTCAAATTTCAATGAACAAGTGAGCATCAGATATAAGATTCACTAGGAATTCTGACTGTGGAACATAAGAACAATCTCATTACTTATGATTCAACTCGGTACACAATTGTAATGGTCTGACCCGATTAGCAAAAGTGAGCTTATGTCCACTTCTTTGGAAAGGTTTGTTTTGTGATCAAGAGACTCAAAGTCAACGAATGAAATAAGTAACTATTATAGTTAATGACCTTTTAGCAACGGCAAGGAAATCCTTGGAAAATGATGTATAGGAATAGTTCATGGGCGAACATTATGGCAGACAAGCTAAAGCCTTTATCAACATTGTTCTTTTTAGCTGGCATCTCATTAATGGAGTGAAGATCCTCCTCAGCACGTTTGGGTTAAGAGGCTAGTCTACCTAACGTCGCAATCATGGGAGGGATTGCGCGCCCCATGTATACGGGTACCGCGCGCGAACCGCCCGCGCAGCCAGCCCGGTAGGAATAGATGGCGCCAATACTGTCTCTGTCAACGATGTGCTCCTTTTCCCATCAGCTCAAGGCCACCGCGTCGCGCTCGCAGACGTGCCGCTTGAGCGTTCAAATCTGCTGTATCAGTCGGAGATCGCTGCGCAATTCCCACGTGCAGATCGCTGCACAATGCCCACGAGCTGTGGATGCGTAGTTGCAACGGAAAGGGGCGCACAAGTTGACACAGGGATACACCTCACTGGGAAAAGCACTTCCAGTCAAGTGTTCCCTCAATGACAGACTATCTGCGCTTTACAACCTCCTAATGTGAAGCAAATTCAGCTATGCGTTACAAGGAATATTACTAGTAATAAATTCTCTACCGTGGTTGAAAGTGGCAACCCAGCTCGTCTTTACGACCAGAGTTTAAAGGCAGTGTCCCGGCGGATTTCGCATTTCCATCTTTTTGCATGTTTTGGGCCTTTTCGACCCGTAGACTCCGAATTTGAGCTTTAAAACGGTGAAAAGACCTTTTTCGGGGCGTTTACCCAATTTTTAAAAAGCAGCTCGGACGAGAATTTCAATGGAAAGTTGGGAGGTCCTGGGACGAAGACCCTGCTGCCTGTAATTTTTGCTTTGGATAGCATGCAAAATGCGAGAGAGCGGTCGTGGGGTCCCGCGCCGAACGGTAAGCGAAGCCGATTGGGGTTGCGCGCCGGTTCGAGGTTATTTTCTCGGCTCACGGGGAACATCAACCAGCCGGACTGCGCCTGTAGGTCAATGGGATGACCAGGAACCCCACCATGGCAATATCCCCCAGGGTGCGAATCTGCCGGGACACTGCCTTTAAGCAAGAGATCAGGCAGTCTTTCAAAAGCGACACCCTCCCCCTCTCCCTTCTCCTGAAAGCCCCAAACGACCCCTCCATCCTCCTCTTCACTTCTGGAACCCCAGAGTACGGTATTGGAGGACATCATTCTTTTATAAAGAGTTTCCGAGTTTTTGAAGTATGTGCGCCCCCTCTTTGACTCATAAATTTGACGGCTGATTTGATCGAATGGGCTTGTTGAAAAGGTCATAATTACTCCAATGATGGAGGGTTTGGCTCACAGTTTCCATTGTCAGCTTGACATGAGGAATTGTGCCTGAACCGATTAACTTTATCACCGAAGAAGCTTTCCCATTTTAGTATTATGTGGTTCGCTAGCACAATCCCCTATGATTCTATAGTAGGTGATTGAGCTAACCTCGACTTATTCGGCTTTGTGGTGATCGATGGATTTGAAGCATTCAAAGTGGAGAAAACGGTAATTGAAATTTTGGCAGCGCTTCTTGATCCATATAGGTAATTTGGCATCCTGATTACGGAAATCATACCCAATTTATATAGCAACCTTTTTAGACCTTACGGTATGTGAAAGGTAAGAGATGGACACTTAAGATTTGGCTGAGACTTCGTTGTGGATTGATCAGTATGCTTTTCACGACAGTCATTCCTTCTCTGGCGAGTTCTGATATTCACCGGTCTAGCGCTTTTTTTATTCACCCTCTTCAGTCGTAGTATTTCTTTAAGCTGAAAAAATTTGGTTCTTAATTACCCCCCCTCAATCTTACCCCCAATACGACCTCCAGGTCGGGTACGCCTGACTCCATGCTCAACCCTGGTCACGGCCCCACATTTGGCTGCTCCAAGTAAAACGCAGCGCAGCCGCGCTCGCGTGTCGCCATTTCGAGCAAAGCGCGAGATTCGATCATTCAAACGGGTTTGCTTCCATTATGTTGCGAATAGCGAGGAAAATCTCTGACTCTCAAAGTGCTTCTTTTTCTGTTTTTGAAGACGTTGTATACAAGAGCGAACAAGAGCCTAAGAGACGCAGTATTCAAGTGCAAACTGAGGTTAGTGAGATTTTCTAGTTTTTAGCTTTTTTACTTTCTGTCTTCTTCAAAAAATTTGAAATTGCTATGGGTTCATGAAGAACATTGCAATTTCGATGCAAACTTTGAACTCCAAATGCGCAGTTCTGCAAAAGAGTAGGACTTGCGTTGTGGACATATATCAAAAGCAATCAATTCCTATTGGTTTACAGATATCCTGCGACAACGCCGAACTTTCTACGGAGGTGTCCATCCAAAATGATCAGTCAAAAAGTGCCAGCGAACCTGCTGATATCGTTTTTTGGCGTGCAGTGGCGACACAAAGAGCTGGCGAGCTAGATAAGCTTCGGGAGGATATCGAGGAGGTCAGTTATCAAAGCACATTTTCTGCTTGATTACGATGTCTCATCAGTGCTCAGTTTCGCCCTTCCCTATCTGTAAAGTATAGGAATTAATTGGAAAACATCTCCGGATGGTCGCAACCAATACTTCGCAAAATAGTCTCTTGCGCTTTGTCCTGCGTTGAATCTAACTTACCAACTGCAGGTTCGTGCACAGATCGAGCAAAATGTGAAGGAAAAGCATGAATTAGATGAGAAACACGATGCTCTCTACAGTCAAATGGAAGCTATAATACAGAATTCCTACTCGGAAGACGTTCTAGATGGAGGCACTTAAGCTCGTTGAGGAATTCGTCTGCAGTCTACATTAACAAAGTTTCCTTCCCTATTGTCTTTTCTGTTCATTTGAAAATTGTGCTAATTATCACCATAAAATTGCATAGTGATATGGTTCATCTTCCACTTGTTGAATCAGATTTGCATGCGCAATTTCGCGTTAATTCAGGTAAGTTTTCACGGGTGAGTGAATGCCTGTAAAAATATCAATGATATAAACTTGCTGTGTTTTAGTTTTGGAAGTGAGCCTTTTTTCGCGAACCTGGCAATACTATTCGTATAGCATGCTGTTTCTTCCTTAACGCCTAAGTATCCGAATATTCATTATTTTTTCATGATCATCTCTTGTATTTTCAGCTTGCATGTATACTTTAGTCTCAACAAGAATAAATGTTTTCTCACCATTATTTTGGAGAATATGTTGTAAATTCAACAGTATCGCATTGCATGCTGCTACATCCTTCTCGTTGATTTATTTGATTCTTCATCTAATTCTTCATAATTTTCAAGATATGGCTACTGTGCGATTTGGTTTGAAGCAGGTGCAAAATTCCAACGTCAGTCCGTCTTTATCCATTCTCCAGGAGAAGAAAGTAAGTACCAGAGATTTCTTTTTTCCGTATCTATTGTTTTGATCTTCTTCTCGATAACTATTCTCAGCAAATGTTTTCTATGAGGTCATCTTGCTCACAAATTTTTCAAATTTCACAAGATCGTTGCGCTTTTGCTGATCTATCCGACAAGTAACACTTCTTGTCTGCTTCTTATTCGTTTCATCATTTTTTTGATGTGTAGCGGCTTAATGGGATACTCTGCGCTCGGTTTTTATGTGGATCCATTGTAAGCACTTGGTTCGTATGCCTGTATTTTGTCTATTTATATTTGATGTTCAAAAATACCTGTATGTTTTGGAACCAATATAGTTGCAAAAATGAATATGCTGTTATCATAGGTAGTCAGGCGATTCCTAAGCTTTCTGTGTTTTTTGATTTTTGGTTTTTGCTCTATTCTCTAGGGCGGAAAGGTTCGTGAAAGACTTTTCGCGGACCTAGAAGAAATGCAAATTTATGATATAAGTTTGTCGCGAGAAGGTCTTATAAGGTCGACTGCGCAAAATCACCCGGGGCGCTGTACGCTAAACGCGCGCGAGCGTGTCTGCACCGCGGTTGCCGAGTACAGGCGTTATGATGACTTAGGCAGCGTTCATACTGATCCAGGAGTTCGGGAACAGTTCCAGCATCGCGCCCAGTTCGAGCGTTGTGCTGGAACTGCTCCCGAACTTCCGGATCAGTATGAACGCAGCCTTAGGGTTCCTTCATACTACGCCGCAGGACGCAGCGTGCGCCGCAGTAATCGCTCTGAAAATGTACGTTCACTGCAACGCCATTTCGCTGGTTATGTATGTATCTCTACATCTCCTGCACGTTCACGTTCATACATACATAACCAGCGAAAAGGCGTTGCAGTGAACGTATATTTTCAGAGCGATTACTGCGGCGCACGCTGCGTCCTGCAGCGTAGTATTGAGGAACTCTTAGCCCGCAAGAGACACGCGCGCGGGCGTACAACCCGGACGATTCCGTGCAGTCAACTATGCTACATTTCTGAACCGTACTATCCTATCATACCCGCAGGATCTAGCTCTAGGGCTATTATACTCTCAGAGCGTTTGTGACTCCAAACCCTATGAACTCTCATAATCAGATAACAAAAAGTTGGAGTTATCTCCCTTCAGAAATCGGGCACCTGAGAAGTATTTTGATGTTAGGTTTTGGTTACATGCGTTAGAAGATTTGCATCATCATAATTCTTTCAGTAGATATATATGTTGCAGGGAAAATCGGAAACGAAAAAGAAGGCGAAAATAGATGCGGTTCATACTGATAAAGAAAACCGGGAAACGCAAGCAACAGTTGAAGTAGGTTTCATGAGCTTTTTTGTTTCATTCAGGATGTCACTTAGGTTGAGTCTACGTTCGCACAAACTGATGTTGCCACTATCAAAGAAGATGCTTCTATAACAAAAGAGGTCGCTATTTCATAATACATGTGTGAAACAGGTTTTCATTCAATGCAAACTTTTTTACAGGATCTCTTGAGTGACGAGCCGAGCTCGTCTTATTGGCGAGGATTAGCCGAGAAACTGGAAAAGGAAATCGACAAGGAATTGGAGAACAGTTTTAACGTAGGCTTAGTTATATATCGACTGTTATCATACCGTTCTTTCATGTGTGCTTTAGGCTTCCCTCGAATTGGACAAATCTTATGAGGATCTAGAAGATTCCAGAAATCGCTTGAAACTTCTAATGGAAGTTCTGGACGATATTCTGGATGAGCAAGACGATAAGGAGCATCCAGAAGCCGAGGTTGCTAGTAAAAGCAATGAAGCCTAACTTCGTCATGTAATGTGTCAAATCTCATAAACTCCTTTATTTTCCCGAAATCGAAGCTATTTGTTCGTAATCATGATATAGTGAATCGCTGTCGAATTTCGTCCCTACGTTCTAACTCTGTAATATTACGAGTCAGTCTGTATGTGTGTTATCTAACCTTGTAGAATATGCCGTTGTGGAACCCGCTAATTTCAAGGAAGTTCCCTTGCGTTGTAAGAAGAATGATGTCTTTGCCATGCATACAGAGTGTCCCAAAATAATGTGCACACTGTTTGATTTTGAATAACTCTCCTATTATGGGGTCTATCGAGAAGCGGTAAGCGCCATTTTGTAGAGCTGGCTTGAACTTAGATTTGCAGTATAGAGCGAACCACCGACCGCTCTTCATTACTGTAGGATTACGGTAGAAACTTGAAACATATGGTCTCATTGTGGAAAAAGCTGCCGTTTCAAAAATTTTCAAAAAGTTGTGAAAACTTGTGTAATAGGGTTTTTAGGGACGCTGAGTTCAATACTCAACTATTCTCAAGATTACGAAGCTTTCTAAACGGTGTAATCGCACTTTTTAGGAACATTGAAAAAATAGCCGCTACTGCTTGCCTCGCATAACTCTTCAGTGAAGCATCATAATAAGTTAGGAACTTTACATTTAGAATCAGCAACTCTAATTGGCTTAGTGTAAAAGTTTTCAGGCTGTTTTGATTCCTTTCTGAGGCAAAATATGGCCTTTCATGGCCCAAAACCCTCTTTCAAGTTTTTACCGTAATCCTACACTAACGAAGAGCGGTCGGTGATCCTCTCTACACTGCAAATCTAAGTTGAAGCCAGCTCTACGAAATAACGTTTACCACTTCTCGAAAGACCTCATAATAAGAGAGTTATTCAAAATCAAACAGTGTGCACATTATTTTGGGACACCCTGTATAGTGTTTGCTCATTTTGGGAATAAAGCTTATCCAGCGAAGTCTTGAGAAGTTGCTTACGCTCACAAGATGGAACCAAATCCAGCAAGAGTATGGGTCAAATATGTTAAAGTTTAGAAAGAACGAGAATTAGTTGATTTTACGACGAAAGATTAAACTCTACCTTATTGTTCAGCAAGAATAAGAATTCTGTGTAGCCTCTCAAATCGGCATCGGTCTCATTTCGAAGATGCATGAGGAGCTAGCTACGGCTTCTTTGATGGCAGTCATTGATATCCATTGAGATATTCTACATGCATACTTTCAAAAGAAAGTATTGCGCTCAGCGATGTCAATAAAATTAAGCAAATTTCCATTAAAAGAGATCTTGTGCCATGCATTACAATTACCCTCCTGATGTTGTAGTTATGAGTCCATCATATGGAAGTTGTTTCATTTGAAGCTTCAGTATGCATCAGCTTGTAGATCAATCGTTTTGTGAACAAGCCAATGCCTCTTGCGCGAAGATCCAACTATGGAACTTTTTCATCGAAAGCTGAATGAAGTTGGTGGAAATTTAAGTTAAAAATGCGTGAGACAAAGCATATATTTCAGGTATTATGATAAATAGGTAGTGCAGGTGAGAGATGACTAACCATTACATCACCCATCATTCACGAATTAGCATATTCCGATGGCTAGCCTTGGAGTACAAAGCTCAGAAAATACCGCTCTAAATGTCGTAATTTTGAGCTGTGTTTAAGAAATAGGTGCGCTAGCTAGCCTCAAAATATGTATTCTTCCACAGCGGTATTCCAAACATTATTGTGGCAGGTGTACACGCTCGAAAGTGCAAAATCAAAATAGCTTTGAAGGACGTAATTTCGCGGGGAGATCTTCATTAGCACCCTTAACTGCATTTTTCCTGCAAAAAAAAACAGGCACCAAAAAAAACTTCCGGAGGTTTGGGTAATTGGGTCAAATCTGTGCGGAGCTGTTCAAGCATAAAAATAATGTATCCAACAAGGAGATTTTTTTTTCTAAATTAACGTTTCTCACATATCTTAAGTTTTAGCGCAACGCTGTGTCAAAGCCGACCACTGTAGATATGGACCAGTGCCATAAAAGAATTTTTTTCTTTACAAATGCTGATGATAGCTAGCGGCACTGTAGTATATTTCAGACTAAACAAAAAATTATGGTATTTGAAGTGCCATTTTTGGAAGCTTTGTTCTCCAGGCTAGCCGATAAAGTATTGAATATATTATGATTATTTCATCAACATTACAAACCTTCTATATTTTTAGATCACAAAACCACAGATTTACGTTCAAGATTGAAGAAGCTATCGAACTTAATTTGTATCACCCAAGAACTTTCATTCTAATTTATTACGGTTTTGTCTTGCTCTCCATGGGACTGAGAAAGAGATAGTGGATACAAGAAACATATAGATAATACTTTATTGCCGTTCATAACGGACTATTTTTTTTATTGCAATTGCTCTTTGACAGCGATCCTGAGGGCTGCTACATTTATATCTTGCTATTCCAGCATCCACTTATGGGAGCTTCAAAGAACCCTTTTATGGCCGAAAGGGCTGGTCAAGAGAAGGCTACCACAACACCTGGAAGACAATAAAAGGTGAATCGGAAGCCTAAATGCGCACTAAGAGTGAGACTGATGAATTTATGAGATGAACTTTTGCATCAAACCAGATCCAAAGTGGGTAGTGGGCTAATCGTATCAAAAGGTGTAATAGTGCATCTGAGCCATTAGGAGTTCAGAGTTATCTTTTTATAACCACCTTGTGTACAAATCACCAATGCTACAATCTTTACCGTACCGTAACCTTAGAATTTGCCATAGCAACCTGATTTTCTTGGTTTTGTGGAGGCAAGTTTTGTTAAAAGTGAAAACAGTCCTCCCCCCCCCTCTGTTGTACATTAATTCTTTCGCACGCTGAAACTTTAAAGAAAGCCGAAGCATATGCTTTGTTTTTGGTTTTATTGGATCTAGAACAATCACCGGTCGAACTGATGTGATGCTATCGACTTCCTGTAATTGTCTGTTCGAACTGTCTTGACCGCAACATTTCTGCGAGTTTTTTTTGCGAGCCTATCACCGAGCAATAACTTTTTATTGAGTTTCGAAAGTGTTGTACAGGGAAAGAACTTAGAGTTCGAGCTCATTAGCTGTTATCGTTGTGGGTTGATGTATTGTCTCAGGTGCGAATGAATTTTGCAAAAAAAGATAATCTCGAAATTCTGCCTATCTTGCAAACCTTGCTTCTTCCAATCTAATCTTTCATTTCTCTCCAGTTCTTGATTAGCGATATCTTTTTCGGTACCATATATCCCAAATAATGTGCCTACTGTTGGATTGTTGATAACTTTCTTGTCAGGGCTGGCATCACCTCAAATTACAGTATGGGGCGAATTTTTGATCCTTCTTTGTCACTGTAGCATTACGGTATTGACCTCCGGAATACAGCGCCATAGCAATGCAAACGTTTGATTGAATTCCAAAAATCTGGAGACTTGTGTGCAGGGTCTTTGCGCTTGCTGACTTTGTTACACAACTTTTTACAAGATTTTTGAGCTTTTTAATGATGTGACCACATTTTCAAAGAGCAATCAAAAAGCAATTGTTACGCTTTATGATAACTCTTGGAAGAAGCTTTACTGTGGTGCGCAGGTTTAATTATTGTAATTAGCGACTTCATTCAGGGCCTGGCACCAGCTGGCACGGAGCAAGCTGGATATCATTTTTGGGACAAAAAGCAAAGGGAATATCGTTTTTGTCGACAATTTGCGACGTTTTTTTAGTCGACGTTTCGTTTTTTGGGTTTTTTTAACGTTTAGAGTTTAGGAGAAAATCAAGGGGGACATCGTTTTGAAGATTCGCTGGTGCCAGCTCGTGCCGAGTCCTGACTTCATTAGCCTGGTTGAAAGTTTCTGGCTTGTTCGGTTCTTTTCTTGAACAAAATACGAATCTGAGTGGCTTATAACCGCCTTTAAAACTTCTAGCGTAACATAACACAGCACCTTGAGTGGGCTTGCGCAAAACTCGCGAAATCACTGGAATTGGGAATTGAGATTCGAGCAAAGGTTGCAGGTTGCAGGGTTGCAATGACATTTCGTTTTGTAGCAATCCTACGGTAAAGAATGAAAAATAAATAATTTAGGAAAGCAGTGGTGTAGTCCCATGTGAAAAGCTCATAGCAATGGCAGTGTGCTCTGAATGATTCAGCTATAAATAAGTACTTAAAATCTAATAGTAAAGTAAAAATTTAATGGCTATATCTAGACTGTCATCCATGCGATTGATGGTAGTCACAGATTTCGAAGCAAAATAACGTGTAAATCTACCGAAATGATAGGCTTTCGGATGAGCCAGATGTGTTTCTCGTCCTTCTTCCCCCCCCCCCCTCCTTGGAAACAGTATGGCAAGCGAAATTCTGCGGGAATATATGAGGGTGTTAATGTGTGCTTGTCTAGTGATAATTTTTTTAAAATTTTTTACGAGCTACGCAGAACGGTACAAAGATGGGGCGAGTTCATGGTTGGAGTTTCCCTCCAAGCATTTGCAATCAGTGATAAAGCTTTATAAGATCAATATGAAGAGGTGCAGTAAATTTTTTTGATAAATTAGGAATTCTCATAGGCAACTTTTTTATAACTCTCGTCTTTTGGAATGTCGCGCACCCACGCTGGTGTTAGAGACTACTAGCTGGCAAACCCGGCTCCGCCCGGCCCTGTCAGTAATATATTCTTAATCAGCATGCTCACTTATCCCCCTGTGCCAACTCCCAGCCCCGTAGCTCGAACTTTCTAGAAATTCGATAAAATCGATATCGGTCGATGACGAAAAGTAGCCTATGACACCTGCCCGGCTCCGACGTGTATGTGTGTCAAGTTTGGTCCGGATTGATTCAGAAACAAAAATTTCTATTCAGAACATACGTACATATAGACATACATACCAGTGGCGTACCCAGGATTTCGGCTCGTGGGGCGGGGGGGGGGGGCGCGGCAAAAATTTTTTTCAAATGAAGGTGCGTGGGCCAGTCACGCACTCCGAAAAAATTTCGGGAGGGGGGGGGGGCTTCTCAAAATTTTTGCGGGCCCTCAACACGCCCCCGAAAAATTTTTTTATAAGGCTAATTTGAATTTTTAAAAAATTTAAAAAAATTATTTTAATTGTTTGCAAAAATAATCAAGTCACTTGCACATTTTTATAACTCGTGTAATTAACTTTCAAAAATTTCTCGACCCGTTCTTGACAGACATACAAACAGACATTCAGCTTTATATATAAGATGATACAAGCTACAATTGCAGCCGTTATTGCCGAACTCCGCCATTGCATGTAAGGGTTACGGTAGGTTTACGGCAGAAGGGAGGAAACCTCGGATTGCGTTACCTTTTGCTGAAACTTAGTCTCGGGGTTATTCGACTTGCTGATTACAAAAGTACTACCTATTCTACATGAAAGGGCTCTTTCATAATGTTAAAGTATGATTTTTCATCTTGAAGCTGATGGCTTGTTCAGCATGTCGAATTAGCGCTTGTGTAAAGTTTTGGAGATTCTGAGGTTTCGCAGCTTAGTTTCTGGCAAATGCTCCTCCAAGTTTGACGCATTGACTTGTTCAGCTTCTCAAGGGCGCCAAATCTCAATTCGTCTCCATACTTTGTTTCTTTTTTTTTACTGAGTTCGTTAAGTCTACCTAGACCAACATGCTGCATATGTTTCTGCTTAAATCCCTGAAATCTCGATTTTTAAGGTTTTTTGAAAGATGCATAGTTTTTATCATGTTATGAAGTATGAAACGGTTTGTATTTTTTATGGCTAACATCACGGTATACAATGCCAAAAAATGAGCCCGCTACATTCTAAAAGAGAAAAACCATGGATTTGCACTCCTTGTGTGCCAACCCAATACAATCAGTAAGTGGAACGAAAGTGCATTGGCTGATTCGATTGCTTGCAAAAAAAACCAACTTAACACAAATTTTCAAATTTATACCACCTGTTAGCAAATTTAGTGTCTGGTAAAAACGAAAACACTCAAAGTCTTACAGAAGATACATTGAATATACAGGGCTCGGCACAGGTACCTTGTAAGCAAACTGATGTCGTTTTTGGGACAAAAAGTAAAGGGGGTATCGTAGTTTTTTAGTCGACGTTTCGCTTTTGATGGTTTTTTACGTGTAGGGTTTGGGGTCAAGGGGGCTTTGTAAGCTAAAAAGCTCATAAAATTTTGAATGTTAAAATTTTGATCCAGCAAAAATCATTTTTTTTGCAGGAACAGAAATCTGCTTTGACACTTTCCTACTGTGTTTGCTTTCTTTCATTCTAAGGAATTTGCAATTTGAAGCTGATGTTTTGATAGAACAAAACTGCAATTATTGTGGACGCACCTATGGAACGTTGTTTATCATTAAAGTTGCTATAAAAGGAGTGTGAAAGGTAACAATGTGCCCATTGTAAAAGTTGTCTCCTCTCATTTCCTTTGCAAATCAGCTCTCTTACTGTCTTAATTAGAATGTTTTTTAATTGTGAAAGTTGCCTGGCTTCTTTTTGCAATTTTTTCCTCGTTGAATATAATGATTTTGAAGGATGGACGAGACCCGGGATAAGGTTTTCTGCCTGGTCACTTACACCGCCACGGCATTCACTCTCATTGCCATTATGGCCATGACGATCACTATTCCAATGGCGAATAACTACACCAGTTCCATTAGAAACACTGCCGAGCGCGATTTGGACGATTGCCAGGTCCGAAGTTCTGAATAGAAATAGACAAAACAATGAATTCCGCCAACTTGCAGAAATCGCTGGAAGAAATTCGCCAGCTTTCAACTCCAATCGTCAAACGAGAGCCAATGCATTGGGTTGATGGAGAAGCAACTGTACGTCATAACGAAACTATCAGAGAGAAGAGACAAGCAGGATGTGCTGGTAAGGTCCCCCAGTAATCTTACAGTAGAAAAAATCGGAGCTATTTAAAGTAATCTATGACATAGAATTCACCAGCTTTCGGTAGCAGACAAACACTGCGTCTTTTCAGTCATTTTGAATCTATCAGCTCACCTTTTTGCATCTATCAGCTCGGCTTTCTCGCTTGGATTTAAAGTGATGACGATGAAATCGGATTTGAAGTGTTGACGACGAAATCAGACTATCATCGTTTCCTTTACAGGTTGCTGTCTTCCCGGAGAACCTGGTGCTGTTGGAAAACCAGGTAGAAACGGTAAACCCGGAAGACCAGGAGCTGACGGCGCTCCTGGATTCCCTGGACGTCCACCCAGAGTAAGTTGACATGCATATTGTTTTGCATTCCAATCCCAGATAGTTGAACGGAAGTTCCACCGTACATTCCGAGAGCGAACCTCCCTCGCCCTTTGTGGAAAGTTCTGCGGAAGTCCGTTTTCCATCATTCTTTTAACTTCCTGCGGAAATTTCCACTTTCGACAATCAAACTTCTGTGATCATGAGCGAAATGTGAAACCGCTGCATATATCTCTTGACCAGCGGAAGTTTCTGTGTCTGAGATAGTCATACAACCAATCCTTTTTCGCAATGTACCCATTTTCTTCAGAGTTGTTGAAATTTCTCAAAGCAGCCAAAACTTTTGAACGAAGAGAGAAACTTATTCAGATTTGCGAACAAATTACACCACCACCTTGCAATCCGTGCCCACCCGGACCACCTGGCCCACCAGGAATCCCCGGAGAACAAGGTGAGTGACGCGTCTAATCCTCAGTTTAGCGAGTGTTGCTACTTGTACGGGGTCGAACAGCACTTTAGATGGGAAAATCAGGCTAGTCTGTTAATCCAGTCGGAGCACGGTCACCTTGCGGCGACAAACCAGAATTCGCGGCGACTCAGCCGCGCGGATGACGAATCTCCCGCGATTCGCCCGAAAGTGCAACTGCTGTTTGGCGGTCGCAAGCATTTTTTCAGCCCCACGGGCTAGAGCTTGTAAGGGTGGCTTGCATGTAAATGCCGGCCCCACTAAGAATTCCCCTCTGGCTGCTGCTGTCATTAGATTGAACGCAATTGGAAACTTCCACTGCAGGTTCAATGGCCAGCATATCGACGACGTAGCTGCGCAGGTCTGGTTGCTGTAATTACAGATGCGGACAGGTTACTCTCCGGCGAAACTTTCGCTTACAAAACAACCTCATAGAAAAACTTTAATACTCTCTCTCATACTGGACTGCTGCGGGTTTGATGGCCAAAAGAGGAAGACCTGAAGACATCAGGGCTGCTTCCACTCGCTCATCTCATCCGAATAGTGCGTCTAAGAGATAAGTGGAATGTCAGAAAACACTTGCTTAACTAGTTGATCGCAAATTGTAAGAGCGCCCCCTAATGACATGGTTTGAAGACCGCTTTCAAGTGGTACACTTATAACTTCAAAGTCTCTCCGAAATTGATGCCTTTGTGTTGTTTTCAAGTATAACATCCACTAAAGGGAACAAACTTGTTCGAATTGAACTTTGTGTTACTAGTGCCCCCACTACAAGCTGTATTGCTAAACGTGTGGTGCGCTCTAAGATGGCCTCTTGCCGAAGTCTCTAACAATGAGTGGATCTCTGGGGCAAAACCGGAAATTTCCCTGTAGCGTGTTGTTTTGCCAAGATAGGAATCGAAATGTGGAATGCAGTTGAAAAAGTCTTTATCAGATGATGTGCAGCTGGATTTTGGGTTCAGAAATTCTTGGCTTATCTTGTGGAACCACCCAAATTGCTTTATGACTAGTTTGAGCGGTAATAGCTTCTAGATAGGAATCTAAAGCTGTTCCGGCGGAGAAATTCTCGCTAGACTCCTGATTCAGTTGAAAAATAATTTTGAAGCTGTTGCGCGCAATCCCGCCGCGGTCAGATGTGCGTCCCCCCCCCCCCTCCCCTCCTCCCCCCGGCGGCGGATGTTTGACATCATGTCGCTGCCGTTATCCTGCCAATCTGCGCCAAGATTGATGAGCTGCCTTCCTGAGACTTTGCTGACGGGCACCCCTGACTCGCTGACGCCCAGTATAGTTCGTTGGTGTGGCTCGAGTGCGTAGATGGCTGTGGAATGAATGAAGCACGCGCTTCGAACCGGTTGTGGACGTCGCGGTCGCGTGGCCGGAACGCAGCAACCGCGCGCCGATGCGCTCTCCGGCCGGCGAGCACAAAACCATCTCGCTTACGTCATCGAACCCCCCGTAAATTATGCCTTAAGGCACAAACATACGCATGAACATAGCGAGCAGCATCTTTGTTAAGGACCACCCGGCGGAGGTGGAGCACCAGGCCCACCCGGACCGGCTGGACCACCAGGACCAAAAGGCAACGACGGCGCACCTGGAGAGGGTGGAGGTGCCGGACAACCTGGACCACCTGGACAGGCAGGAAACCCCGCACCCAACCGCGCCGCCATCCCCGGACCACCCGGTCCAAAAGGAGCTCCTGTAAGAATAACGCACTTCACTTGAGTAGATGGATGCGAATTATAATAATAAAATATGCAGGGAATACCTGGAGAGCCTGGAGCACCTGGTTTACCAGGACCGAATGGACCACCAGGACCACCAGGCGCTATGGGAGAGGCGGGCACCCCTGGACAGGATGGACCAGACGGCCAACCTGGACAGCCCGGTCAATCGGGTTCAGCCGGCGGAGCTGGAGAGAGAGGTAAGTTCAGCCATCAATGTACCTAACCAGCAGTAAAAAATTCCTGCAGGTGTCTGCCCAACATACTGCTCTCGCGACGGCGGTGTGTTCTTCGAAGATGGAACGCGACGACGACGACGCGTATAGATCACGAAAAACCTCGAATAATGTCAATCGTTGTCTTAATAAATCTTTTGCAGAGAGAATTCTTTTTTTGTACCTTAACGTTTTAATCTCCCCACTCGAAAACGCCTTTCACTTGAGTGACTAACGAGCTTGATTGCGACAAGAGTCGTGGAATGTAAACGCTGCCAATTATGGCTAATTACTTCTTACAAAGGTTGAAGAAAACTTCGCAGAAAAACGACGACAGCTTGAACTCTGTGGTGCTGAGTGCAGTGATAAAAACAATCTTGACAAAAGAACGGGCTTTGTAATAGCTTCGCACATATAAATGTAAGAATTTCCACTTAGCTCGGAAGTTCGCAAGCTGAACAACCAACAATAAGCACTACGGATTCGCCAAAGGTAAAGGTGAGCTTGTTTTCATTTTCTTAACTGTATTGTAGCTATTAACTGTATTGTTTACCAAACATGTCTACTAGCAGAAGATTTGAATAATGATTACTGCGCTAATTTCTAGGGCCACTTCAGTAATAGAGCGCAAAATGAATCCTTCTCACATCCGAATGTTTTTGGTGCGCTTTCACCAGATAATTGACGCTGCCAGAACTTCCGGTCTTTTTTGAAAACCCAGGACTCGGGCTGGTCGCATCTGTGCCACTTGAGGCTGAAGCTGTGAAGCCCGACTTCCGACGGCAGTCCTCGCCCCTCGCTCGGGTTTGGGCGGGTCCCCGACCATCAGATCCAAGGCGCGGCGACAACATTCTCCAGTTTTTTTGCGAGCTGCATCACATTGAAACGGTCTCTTCCCACGTCGCTCCCTCCCCTCGGCCACGATTGGCCCGCCACGCCTATCAGAAGCTAACAGAAAGAAATATCTACTATGGATATAAAAGCCGTTAGCCGCGCGGCTGCTGGCGCCGCCCCAAAGACGTGCTTTGCTTAGACAAACATGCCCACACATACAACAAGAATAGCGGCCCAGGGGAGCCGCGCCAGTGTTCTCGCCTTCTTGCCGTAGGCTGCCGTTCGCCTGCTTACTGTTATGCGCGAACCGTGTCCCAGCGTATCCCAATCCCGATTTCAGTAGCGCAGTAGCGAATATCAAAAGCGCTGATTCCGGGCACTCAAAGCACTCATACTCGCCCCGAGTTCCCCCCTCCCCGCAGCAGCACGCCCCAGCGCAAATCCAGTTCCTCAGCAACTTCTTCGCTAAGAACATAGCATCCGAATGTCCTCATGAGGATGTGTCTAGGTCGTGTTTTCGCTCTGTGTTCGTTCGCATCGTCTCTCTATTGCTTCTCTCTCGTGCTCACCTCTCACTTCTCTCTTTCTGAAAGTTCTTCTCCACTCAGAATGGACCAAGATCGGCGAGAGCGGGCGTACCGCTTCGTCGCCTTCTCAGCCGTCTCCTTCTCACTTGTAGCCATCGTGGCCGTGTTCATCACGCTGCCCATCGTCAATAACTACATCAACTCAGTTCACGCTCGAGTCCAGAGCGAAATGGAGTTCTGTAAGGTGCGCACCCCATTTCCCCTTCCTCCTCTCCGTGACAAATTAATCCAGTCCTGGTTCAGTTGTCGGCGCGCGACGTCATGATGGAAGTGGCAGAATTCCGATCGCTGCCTAATAAACTGCTACCTGGATTTATTCACTCAGCTAATGAGACTCGGCACAAGAGGCAGACGGCCAGTGCTTGCCAAGGTTGACCACTTTTATCAACTTTTACCAGCTTTCGTTTTTTCGTTTCCACCAATTTTTACATGATTCGTACTTTCCGAAATTTGCACCGCTGTTATGATAGATTCGATACATGCTTATTTCTGCTTATTTTGATGCAAATGTGCTATTTATTGATCAAAAGCAGTTGCAAACCTATCATTGCCGACGTTCTCAAAGAAGCATTGCTCGTAATTTTCATATCTCGGCGCACAGCAGAATTTTCTGTTATGTTGGCTATACTATCGTAAATGTTGCCCTACGAGTAAGCTGTAGCTGGAAATATTATTTTGACCAAATTTCATGTTTATAGCAATTTTCAGAAAGTTACCTTTTTCCCTACCATGTTTTCATGTTCTCTTCACTATGTAATTTTTTTGTTGCTCCATTGCAAGAAAATTCTTGTCAGGTTGCTGCTTGCCAGGATTACCAGGTCCCGACGGTCCACCCGGTAAGAACGGAATGCCAGGACGACCTGGCGCACCAGGAGCACCTGGATTCCCCGGAAGACCACCGGCGTAAGTACTGCAAATCATTTCTCTGGTAGTCTATGCACGTCAATATGGTGCAAAAGTCGTTTTTAAATTATATAGTTTATTTTTTCCTTCATAGTCGAAAAATCATTAAGAGATGCTCATAGCCTAAGTAAATATATGAAACACAATTTTTGAAGACCTCAAGATCTCTTTTCTCTATCCCTCTTTTTCACTGCGTTCAATTAAATTTTGTTTGGTATATTCTGGTGCTTAATTATATACGAATTTCATTATTGGTCTCTCACGACTAAAGATACACTACAGATAAAATCTCATTACTTGTTGAGAAAAACTTTTGTTGCTTGGAAAATAATCTTCCATCATTCAATATCCTTCTATAGTATAATTCTCCCTCTCTTTTCTTCTGGGGTGCACCCGTAACATTTGAGAGTATTGCATGTTAACAAATTTGGCAAATCAAAAAGTCACATATAAGCTCAAACCTTTTTGTTCCAAAAAAGTTGCAATCGAATTAAATCGAAACAATTTTTAGCGTTTGCGAAGAAGTGACAGAACCTCCTTGCAATCCGTGCCCACCCGGAGAGCCAGGGCCTCCTGGACCACCAGGAGATGCAGGTAGGCGCTGCCGTTTTGAATCAATTTTGACGTCGTTTGAAAGCGATAGAAGAGACAAGTGTCGCACATTTTAGGAAGTCCGGGTCAACCGGGTCATCCCGGACGAAACGGGAACGATGGACCACCCGGGCCGCAAGGTATGACAAACTCAAACTTGTTCAGCTATCGTAAAGTAACCAAATGGTTTTCAAGGACCTCCTGGACCTCCTGGACCACCCGGCGAGAATGGAAGAGATGGACCTAGAGGAGAACCAGGTCGACCTGCCTTCAGGTGAGCTATAAGGCATTACAATTTGAATTGATAGCAAAGATTTCTTCTTAGTACGCCGGCTATTCCCGGAGATCCAGGCGCTCCCGGGGAGCCGGGACCACCCGGACTTCCCGGAGAAGCTGGACAAAGCGGTCGCCCAGGATCAGACGGACTACCCGGACCACAAGGACCACCCGGTCCACCAGGACCACAAGGACCACCAGGAGAAGTTGGACCACCAGGACAACCCGGACAACCAGGACCACAAGGAGAACGAGGTAATTTCTTGATATGCGACCCGGGGCAAATCAGAGAAAACTCTTCCAGGTATCTGCCCGAAATATTGCGCTTTGGACGGAGGTGTTTTCTTCGAAGATGGTACAAGAAGATAACGGATATTCTGCTAGTCTTCGCATTCAAGACTTTTCCGCGTCGCTCTGCAAATGTCCCGTTTCGTTTTTGCCTTGGTACCTGTGCCTGCAATTGCGCTCCCGTTTCTCTACGATCGCCATCGGGGTTTTGAACCAACTCTTCTCACCGCTGCTCGAACAAGTTTCTGTTCTAGGAGACTTAAGTGGATGTGTTTTGACTACTCTCAGATTCACACGGCGTTAATTTCTGGCACACGTTCTTGTACCCGGGTAACGTAACGAAACAGCCTTCATCGTCTCCGCACAAAGTGTAATAATTGTAAATTTTATGCACTTAATAAAAATACTGCTATATCCGAGATTTTTGACAGATTTGCCATTAGCGGAAGTGAGGCGACAAAAGAACGCTTTTGCGGGCTTTTTTCTCCTGTCCAGGGGGATCTTCATTGATCATGCCGATGTTATTAATCAGCTGAAGTGTTTGCACAAAATCGCAACGACATATGTATCACATCCATCTCATTTCACGCGGATTCATTTACGGAACATCTTTTTCAAGTTTGTCTCGATGAAGATAAGCAACGAGTGGTTTGCGATACCTCTGAAGGCGAAAAAAAGTGCGCCGAGAAGAATTGGTGGTGGTCATCGACCGCGAGAGAACCGAGTATCGCGGCGCGTTTCTAAAAAAAGCCAAGCGTTTCGGAATCACTTTCTCAACGCTGCTTGACCAAAGCAAACCGGGATCTCAGTAGTGAAGTCTTCACTTCAAAGCGCTTCACGGTGATCGGGTTCCTTGGGGTTTTGCAGGTTGCAAGACTTGCGCTCCCACGCTTTTCTATGGGTGGGTAAATGCATGAGAATCTTCTCAAAAGTGATGGATGGGTAGCTAATAAGATGCTCCATGGCCAAGCGGACCTTTTTGTTGCGAAACAAAAATTCAGCCAGTTTCTGCAGATTTTTTTCTATTTTCGCTTCTTCGCACCTCCTTCCTCACCTCTTCTTCTTCCTCTAGACGAACGTCAAAGTTCTTTACCAAACCCAGTAGGCGACATTCATAACACAATAGAACATCGGAAGCATTACGCCATGGTTCATTTCCTTTCTATGAACGCACTTCGTGTTGTAAGCTGCAGCGTAACGACAAGTTATTCCGGTTTCCTTATGAGTTTCGGCCTGAGGTTGCGTTGGAAGGTATAGCGGAGGGTCATGCGGTTTGTGAAACATCTAATGAATGTTTTTCGGTAACTAGTAAAATTACCCTTGTTTTCCGAATACGATTATTCTCTGAGCAAGACCTACTTTGAATAGGTTGAATAGGTGACGTTTGTCTGCAACTGCACGATTTTCGGATGTCGAACACAAAGCGTCGGGATTTGCAGATAAGAAACATATAAGCATTGCAATTTATACGTTTACTCAGACACCATTGCGCGCAACGAAAAAAAGACAAAAAAGCACTAGAAAAACGTTATCCAGGCCCTATGGCGAATCACTTTGGAAAACGTGCAACTGCACACTTTAGAAGAAAAAACTCATTTGACTGTAGGAGGGTGAAAGATGTTCAAACCTTTCAGTTTCTATATTTTTCCTATTACATAGCTCTAATTCTGTAATTGAAGCCTTCCCCCATCCTCGCCTCTACCGATGAACGACTAAGCGTCCAAGACTGCTCAAGTATATCTCGAAACTTTTTCTCTAGTCTCGCGCTTATTTTGTTGCGTCGACACACATTACGAGTGATGACTAAAAGGGGAACGACTAGTAAAGTGGCAGGGGCAGTATACGTAGCGAGCGACAAATGAATACTCGAGATTACGAGGGTGACGGGAATGGTCATAAGTTGTGCATAATTCTCGCCCCTAGCTAGGATCCGTTTTTCGATCCGTTGAAGTATTGAGTCATTTCATAAGCTTGTGGGGTTTTCATTCTAGTCCTCATTTCTGATCTGTGCGGCAAGATTCGCATATCATAAGAAAGGGTTGATCATACTCAAAATGAACTATCCGATTTTGACAGAAAGTCGACCTAATTCATTTTCAACTTTCTAACGAAGAAAGCATACTTGATGGCTTGACTTTTCGATATGTGACATATGTCATGACATTCGCCTTGAAACGCTGATTTCCAGACTGTGTTTGTGATCTGAAGAATGATTCTTCAGAAAAACCGTATCTCCTTGCATCCTAGGCATTTGCACTAGGGTATACGTGGTGTAGAGCATCGACTAATTGTCGGGTAGCCTAACGGCTAGCGCTGTGGATTATTGTGCAGGGTATGTTGGTTTAATCTCGATCGGTACAATTGTTTTTGCGCGCGCAAAAAGTGCTCTCAAAAACGCTACCTCTTCCAAAAAGTCCGAAGGCGAGCATTCTGGTGTATAACAAATTTCAAATGGACACGTCACCAGGCATCCTTCCCTTGTAAGATGGTTTTCAAAAGTCAAGAAAGGCATTTTACATTTTCAACGCCACTTTATTCCTTGTAAAAATTAGCGTTTTTGCATAGATTTATGACCCATTCCTGAAAATTGGAATTCGCACGTCAATAGGAGATGAAAAAGTGTTAGACTGCTTAAACAAGGCTTGAGTAGGGAGTCCCCCGAACAAGACTTTTCGTGGAACGGACAAAACGTTCAGAACGCACTGAAACTTGATGGACAAGAACGACACTGCCCACCATATTTTACGCAACTCATATGCATCCTAAAGCGAATCTTCAAGGCAGAAAAGGTTTAAAAAAGGTCCAGTAAATTTTGCTGCATGACAGGCTCCGCTCGGCAGACGCAGTCAAAATGTCCTGCACCCTTGACTGGGAGTTGTATTAGTATCCCGTGTACCACTCAGACCTCTCCCTATCAAATTCTCATTTCTTCCGCTCTCTTCAAATCATATGAACGATGCTTGTTCTGTTTTGAAGACGATTTCCGGCGCTAGCTAAACTCGTAAATTAGGTAGTGAGTTTTGAGAAAACAAAGGTGGAATTCTGACTGCAGGGTGGCAGAAGATAGTGCGCAAGAGCAAAAGACACATTATTGATTGTATGTCGTTATAACTTTGCCATTTCGTTGGTTTTTAAAAAACTCTACAAACTCACGAAGCGACCTAATATGCAGTGGCGTCCCAGGATTTCGGCTCGGGGGCTTCTCAACAATTTTGCGGACGCCCCCGAAAAAATTTTTTTATAAGGCTAATTTGAATTTTTAAAAAATTTAAAAAATTATTTTAATTGTTTACAAAAATAAACAAGTCATTTGCACATTTTTATAACGCATGTAAGTAACTTTCAAAAATTTCGCGACCCGTTCTCGGGGGGGGCGCGCGTCCCCCCCGCCCCCCCCCCCTCGGTACGCCACTGCTAATATGTATATGATGCTGTGATTTGAGTATGCCAAGACACAGTTTAGCAGTACGACTGCATATCATCATGGCAGAATTGAGTCAAAAAAGAAAGATTAAATTTGGAAATCTTTTTCTTGACTGCAGTACAAGATAGGTATGGCATCTTTACGACTTAGAAATCATAAGTATATAAACGTATGACTAGAGCATCTAAAACTGCACGCTCAATTTCGACTAACTGATAAGTGAGTGAAAATGTTGGAATTAACTAAGGGCCAAATTCTAACGAGACGAAAATCAATCTAATGAGATCATTACATTGTCACAAGAAGTCTTTACGCGTCGAATTATGTGGGAATGTGCACTCCCACAAAAAAGTTCTAAAACTCAGCGGTTCCCACGAGAAGAGTCTATGACTGACGCTTTCAAAATCAAAAGTTTTTTGGTGGTCTCCATGTGCCTGATAAAACGATAATATATTTTTATATTTATATTTATTGCACATAATATATTCAAAGGCATCATAATACACTCTAGGTAAATAAATAGTCATACACTTGTGGGTTTATTTAAAGTGGACCAGACTGCCAAGAGTAGTAAAAATAATAAGCGCATTATTACGGTGTAGAATCGATAGATATAATGGCTACTTACATAAGTTATAAAAATGTGCAAGTGGCTTATTTATTTTTGTAAATTATCAAAATAATTTTCAAAATCTTTTAAAAACTCAAATTAGCCTTGTAAAAAGTTTTTTTGGGGTGTGGCTGTCTCCACGCCCCCTTTTCTGGATCTTAAGGGTTGGGGACCTGCGAAAATTTTCAGAAGCATCTCAAAAAATTTTTCGGAGTGCGTGGCTAACGCCACGCATCTTCATTTGAAAATTTTTTTCGCTCCCCCCCCCTCCGAATCCTGCTACCGTTATTGGTATGGCCTTATATCACGGCATGAGCTATATCACTGTTTAAGCCACTTTCGAGCGATACGGTTACGATGTAGTGCCTAGGCGTTCGGCTATACCGCGCGTACCTAGATTTTCATTATAATACCTTCTGCCACGCTTCCTTTGTGTTTAAGCAGCGAATAGCAAACAATGTGGCGTTGGAAAGCTGATTATGAAATGAAATGAAGTAAGAATGAGCCATGACGATGCGATAATCTCAAATAATTTGGATATAACAGCTCTGGAACCAGTTATGGCTGAGCTCGAGAACCATTATGAGAGTTAAATTGAGAGCATAAATTGTACATTACGATAAAGGAGTTTCACTGTCCATCACCGAGAATAATTGAGGAAGTTCATGTTTGATTGAGAATTTTCTCACTTTATGTGAGTTTCCGCGACTAATTATATCGGAAGGAGGTTTGTTCTAAACGACGCGACTAGCAAATCAGTCTTGTAGTATAAAATTTTGCGCCATCTTTTTGTTCAAATCAAACTGATGTTCAAGCTGAAATCACAACTATTGTCATGTTAAATGATGCTATGTATAACACCCAAAAAATTATGTTTGTAAAACAGTATAGAACAGATCAGAATCAACCCAGTCCGCGACATATGACACCAAGAACAAGCCTGATAGATTACGATGAAATAGCTATCACCGCAATTATCCCATAAATTGTCCCCTCATCAGTACTAGCTAGCATAGACGCAGTATTTCTTAGCCACGCACTCCAAAATTTTTTTTGGGGTAATCCTCAAAATTTTTGCGAGCCCATAAACTCTTAAATCTAGAAAAAGCGGAGCGTGGCTGCCTCACTCCCAAAAAAATTTTACAGGGCTAATTTGAATTCTTAAGAATTTTAAAAATTGTTTAATTATTCATAAAATGAAGAAGTCACTTGCACAATTTTTAACACACGTAAGTATAAAAATTTTGCGGCTCATTCTCGGGGGTGGAGCACCCCCTCGGTCCGCCACTGCTAGCTAGTTGAGTAGAGAAGTGCTGCTCATTTTGAAACAT